GGGCTGCGGGGTCTCTCCGAGCACCTCACGCCCCACCCGCTCGGGGTGGCCGCAGCGGGCTGGGATGGCTTGGACAGCACGGGAAATGCTGAGGGTCGCTGCCGGGTCCGTTGTAGCGGGAGCCTGAGAAGAACTGTGTGTCCCGGAGTAGGAAAGCCCATTGAAAACCCTCATCGCTAGAGGCCACAAAGGGAGAAGGTGGGGGGGAAACCTTTTTCTCCCCTGTGTTTCCAGGCCTTGGAGGGTGCGAGAAGCGATTAGAAGAAGACAGAATATTGTTTCTTAGCATTACCGGGTCGCCCCGAATCACACAATTGCTAAACAGGGATTATACTGCAGGATTATGGGGGGGTCGGGTTTTACTGTCTCGATTTCTGCAATCTGCTTGTTCAGTGACTAGTACAATGTACTTTGCCTGTTCTCCCATAGTTATTATTGAAGGTGACTTTTGTCCTATCCACGGCAGCTCTTAACTGCTTCTCTGTTCCCTTTTTTGTCCATTGGCTGCATTTGGTCTGCACCCTTTCACCTCTCTTCCATTCCATCCCCTGCATGCCAGTCTTTGCTCTTTTTTGCTCCTTCTTGTTTCACATTTTCAACCCTTCTCAGGCTAGAGGTGCAGCTGGGGTAGCTTGTTTCCCAGGCTGGAGAAAACTGTTAACAGTGGCTCTTCATTCCCTTGTTCTCCTGACAATGCTGGAGGGAGGAGCACAAGAATATCCTGTTGCTTACCACAAGCAAGAAGAGTGGCTAAGCTGCTTCTGCTGCTCTCCTTCATGTCTTTGAGAATCTCTGTCCTCTGAGGAGAGCTGTAGAGAACTCGGCAGCTTTCCTGCATGGATCCTGCCTCCGCAGGCACTGCTCAGAAGTCCTGTTTGCAGCAAAGCATCCGCTTCTGCAATTTGGAAGAGGAATAGCACTTGTTGTGCCACTGCTGGCTTTAGCTACAAACAGGTCACTGTCAGTCATAAACAATTGCAAGATTTGGCAGCATGGGCTGCTCTTTTCTGGAAACAGAAATGAAGTCATGGAGCCAGTGATACGTACCAGGCAGTTGCTAAAAGGACTGGACTTTCAAACAGGCCAGGGCAGATAAATAGTGTAGGAAGTTGCGGAATGCATTGAGCTGTAGTGAAATACACTAGAATATGTTCATAGTCTTCTAAATAATTTTAAAATAATATTCTCTGTAAAATACTTGTGAAATAAACCCAAATTTTAGTTCTGTAGGTCTATGCAGAAAGCTTAAATATAAAATAACAGCATTCTGTTGTGAATTTAAAACCTTTATGAGAAAAAACCCCATAGCTCACTCGATAGTGAGATGGTTTCTTAAATGTCTTGTCTCAAAATATTACTTCGGGAGCTGTTACAGTTCTGGTATTGGTGCAGGGACTGCTGCATTTTTGTCTTCTTTTGGTGTGTAGGGTTGTATTGAGAGAATAAAGAACAAAAAGACAATAGACAAGAAGAGGATGAAAAGAAAAAAAGGACCCTGGGGGCCCTGAACAGTCTAGAAAGTGACTCAGTGTTTGTGTGCTGAATGGAATGGTGAGGACTGGCAGAGACAATTAGAAAAGCTGGCAGCAATTTACAGTGAGGGTCTGCAGTGATTAGTGGGATGAATCTGGGGTTGGGCTGGTAACCCAATGCAGTTCAGTTTGTTTAACACCTCCTTTCCCTCCCACACCATTGTGGCATTTCAGAATGGGCCTGGGCATTGCTTAGATGGGCATAGATTTAAAATGTTTTGAGTATGGGCAGCAGTGTTGCTGGATACCATCTGACCATCTGTTCAGTTGGCCTCAATCTGACTATAAATAATCCATTTTACTTGTTTCCTGGTTTGGTGTTTGTTTTGCTGGTGCTATGCTCTATGCTGTGGGATTACTTAAAGGACCAGCTTGCAATAATTGTTCTTCAATAAATGCTGTACAACCCTCTGCCTATGGTATAGTTAAACTGATTTGCACTCAGATTATCTAGCGGAGCAGTTGAGATAGGAGTGGTCTTCATATGAGTCAAGAACAGGTCTTCAGTCTGCTTGGGAAAACAAGTCTTATGTTTGCGGTGTAGTGTTAATGTGAATTATGGGCTTTCAAAATGTTTTTAGTTACTTTGTAAATTCATTTTAAGGTATCTGGCTGCGATAGATCAGGGTTTGAACAGTGTCATCAAGATACATACAAGGAGATAAGATGTTGTGAAAGACGAGCAATGAGTGGCAGCCTTCACTGGTACTCTTCAGAGAGGTGTCCTCGGGGAAAAAAAGTCACGTTTGCCAGACAATCTCTAACATTTTCCTGGCAGGCATAAAGGTTCTGCCTGAAAGCCTGTACTGAGCCTGCAGCCTTCATGAAGCTATTGTAATTTGAGATGTGTCGTGTTTTTATTGTGTTGCTGTGTTAACTTTGAAACTGGAGAGTGATGGTATGATGTCACCTTTGATTTTGACAATGTTGAAAATCACATGGTATGCTAGAAAGCAGGGCTGGTCTGTAATACTGCCTGTCATCTTCTTGTGGCGTGCCCCTGGCTGGAACAGCATGCGGCATAGAGGGAACATAATGCCCATGTTCCTTTTTCAGTCCAACTTTCTAGTGAAGGGCCAGTGTACACTTTTCCAGTGTTGTTCTTACCTTTGTGAATATTCTTTGTCCTAGGAAGTGAAATGTGTTAATTTGGCTACTTTTATGTTTTTCAGCTAGTGGAAGTGTTAAAGACACCTTTGTTGGAGCCAGAAATGGACAATACAGGCTTTTAAAAATAGTCATTGACAATGGTTAGTCAATTTTTAATTTTTTTCTCTGATTCTTTTGGATATTTTCTTAGTTGTTTTAGTGACCTACATGTTAAATTTAAAAATTGCTTAAAAAACCAAAATTCTGCCAAACTGAATGTTGCTAAGGTCTTTCATATGCAGAAGGTAAAATCTTAAGATGCTAAGCTTTTCAGTACAATGCTACTGCATTTTTGAATTTGAAGGTTTCTTATAATTTCATAACTGCTGTGCATTTCATATGAATAGTATAAATGAGCTTACTCTTACCTTCTTACTAAAGAAAGGAAGGAAAAGAAAATTCACACCTGCATGGTGTTTTGGCACTTTGGTTACTTTCATTAGACAGAGAAATTCTTGCAGAGCAGCTAGTCAGTTTAGATGAAGTCTAAATATTACCTGCCTTTTATACTGGGGTCTGCTGCATGCAGAAAGCTCTATTAAGCTCTGTTAAAGTAGATGCTTAAGTAGAAATCTGGCTACATAGAAAGTATCTTCAAAAGTCTGTAACTGTGTACAAATCTTCAAAGATAAAAGCGTTCCTTAAATCTCATGTATCTGTATAAATATAAAATTACATAATTTCTCGCAGAACTTGAGTTTGATCTTTGAACTTCTTGGCAATTGATCAAGGCTGCAAATGTTGCAAGATAGAATGCATAATTACTTTTTCTTTATAGCGGTGCTGGTTGACTGTATAAGACACTTTATGGTTTTGTCCGTCTTTTGAAGTACTTCAGGTGCCCACCTTGAGTTTTTTGTTCTTTGTAGACTTCTTGCATTTACAATTCACTGAAATACATGTTAGCTGGCCTATGTGCATGTGCATACATATACATTTATTGTTAGGTAGCCTTCTTTGTGTTTGCTTTTCTTTGAAAGTCTTCTGACATTTTAACACTGATTTCCTTAAAGAAGTAGCAATAATATTATAGGCAGGTCACTGCGATAAAGTCTCACTAGCACAAGGTAGCAAATGCTGGCAAACTATTGGTTTTTTCTTTTCCTATTAGGCAAAGTAAAGCAATATGCTTTTGTATGTATGCTACTTTGTAATATGAAATAAAGCCTAGAAATTATACAAATGGAAGACATTTCCTATATTTTTCCTTTTTGTGTGTGTATATATATATATATAAACATTTTGCCTCTGTAAAAGCAGAATCCAGTTTTTGATACTATTTTCCACAGTTCAGGAAGAAACCTCTAAAACTCCCAGAACACTGGAAGAGGGATGGTTACTTCATCTTTCTGCAGGAGCTTTCAGCAACTGCCCTTAGTCAACACATAATAGTCAATTTGAGTTCTGCTAATTTGAGTTAATAAGAGAAGACGTTTGCTGCTGGGCGATAGAGTTCCTTTGATTGAATTTTTCAATCTTAAACCCAGTGAGTATAAAGCCACCTAGAGTTCAGAACTGGCAAGTACGTTCTGAGTACTCTGGTCTAGGTGTACAACTTGGCTACTTTGCACTAATTCAAAGAAGGGCGCAACACCCTCTCCCTGAGGTGTTTGTGTTCTGTGACTTAGTGTGGTAGAGTGCCTTGCTGTGGAGGCATTTGTATACTGTTGTCTGAAGTTTTACCAGTTAGGTCCTAGACTCTCAAAAGATACTTTGTTTATTAGCTACTATGGTGGTCCTCAAACTGTTGTAGGATTCCATTTAAACAAGGTATTTCTGTTTCAGTTGTGGGTGCTACTGTTTATTGGGAAGCTGATAAGATGTTTTGAAATACACTATACTATTACTTTCCCTTAGCAGTGAAGATGTGATTTATTAATAACAGAAAAATCTTGCTGCTACAGCTGTTCACATAATTAAATCTCATCTGAAGTATTCTATACAGGTGTAAGCCTATTATACATAATAAACAACTTCAGTCGTTTAAAGAGACCAGTTATGAAGCTGTGTTAGAAAGAGGTTTATCTACTTACATAGTCAAAGTGATTAGTGCAAGCATATTAATTCCAAACTCTTTTCACTATATAACTGAGTTACTGACTCAGTACAAACACTAATATGTTATAGCAAGAGCATCAGTAATTCTATTCTAAAATTTAAAAGCTTTTTTTCATCCTGTTTCTACTTAAGTATCACAATTTAAAAAATAACTAGGAGAAGAGAGTTTTTATTTCCCTTCTGTGTTTATTATGCTAAAAGCACTAACATCAGTCTTATCCCTTCAGATCAAAGAACTTGAAGACAACCAGCACATTACTTTTCAATTATTTGTATTTGGGTTAAAGTGAGCTAGGGTTTGAACATGTACAGCTTTTGTAGGAATTCACCTGCTTTCATACTTGACTGTTCTTGACTTCCATTCTTGTGGACGTCATTATGAAAGATGAAGTGTCTGATTAACTGTTTATTGTAATTGCTAATTTTGAAAAACAGCATTAACTGTATTGTTGCTAACCTGTAGCTTTGGTTATTTTTTATAGAACAGCTTGTTGTGGGATCCTCTAGGCAGCCAGTTGGATCATGGGAAAAGGATTATGATTCCTTTGTCCTTCCCCTTCTTGAAGACAAACAACCATGTTATATATTATACAGATTAGATTCTCGGAATGCTCAAGGATATGAATGGATCTTCATTGCGTGGTCACCCGATCACTCTCCTGTAAGTGACATTCATCAGAGATTTCATGTTGCTAATGATGTTTCAACGGTGCCATTTGCTCTGAATCCTAGATATGAAGAAAAGGATTTGAGGAATGGAGCGTTCCCCAACCTTCCCCTAACTTTCCCCCAGGAAAACATCTTTTTTGAAGCTGATTGAGGAGCTCAGTGGGTCTAGAGCGAGTGCAGCTGATCCCGCTTGTTTCTAGCCTAATTGGAGGAGAGGAAAAAATGTTTTTGCCCTGTTTGCTTGTCTTTCTTTCTGTCAGTGTTCCATGAAAATTCATGGAAGGATGAAAGAAAGAAAGAAGAAAGGAAAGAAACCTCAATGGGTGTTAGCTTAGAGAGAAAGATTATAGTGTGAGCTCAAGCTGTTCTGTTTGGCTTGCTGTCTGCTCAGCTAGCACTTGTGGATCTGTGGCCTGCCACAGAATACACTGTCAGTTAAGGAACATGGGAGGGAATTGAGGTTGGAGTTAAGGATTTCTAGGATAAACTAGGATACTCTGTGCAGGTTCTGGGAATGTGAGATAAGGGAAAAGAAAGTAAAGCTTTTCCAATATTCTTACTGCTTTCACTAGCAGCTGGGAAGTAGTAAGACATCAAGAGCTGGAGTGCACAGAAGAGATTAGGTGGCAGAGGTGAGAGGTACTTTGGTGAGGATGGCATGACAGTGAAATAAGGTGGTAAGGTTGGACTGTTGAGAGAGGAGTAAGTGACTGTGTTAGACACAAATGGATAAGAAGCAAACTTCATTGGATCTTTTACCCCTAGGAAATTTAATTTTTTCCACTCCATATTGAACAAAAACTATCTGGAGTCACTAAAATAAACCCTTATACTCTTACTAAAGCTGCAATTTAGTTTTAGAATTACTTTGATAATAATGCGCAGTATCGTGCCTTTAAGAATTTAATAGTGTGTGTTAGTATTGTGATCCAGAACTCATTCCACGTAATTTGTAATAAAGAATAAAATCCAACTTCACAGTGCAGTTTCAACACTTAGAGTATTTATTCAAGAAAGATGTTTGTTGATGGACTGGGTACACCAACATGCTAGATTTTCTGTGTACACCAAAGAAAAAGAACCCAAACCAAACCAGCACTGCTTTGTTATACGCTAGGTTCGTCAAAAAATGTTGTATGCAGCAACCCGAGCAACACTTAAGAAAGAATTTGGAGGTGGTCATATTAAGGATGAAGTATTTGGAACAGTACAGGTATGTTTTTCTTTTTAAAGTCAACAGACTGACTTTAGATGCTAAATATAGTAGTTGATGTAACCAGCATGAATTTGTGGTGTTTCTGCTCTTTTTTGATTAAGGTTTCTTTGGGAAATAAGTCTTACATGGTTATGATGCCTGCCTGTTTGTCAGGCAGACATGAGACAGTCTTTAAAATCCATTGCCAGTTTTAAAAAAATACAAGTTAGAGTTCTCAAAAATACAGAATTCCTATAGCTTTCATGAAAACGGATAATTACTTAGAGATTCAGATTATCATTACCCTTTTCTTCAGCACAAACTGAGAGACTGCAGCAGTTAACTTCTGTTTGGCCTGTTGATTAGTTCATCATATGCACAGATCTGAACCAAAGCACCACCACTACTGACACAGGGAGCTGGTGCTGAAGGAAGGGAAGGAGTTGGAGGTTTAGGGAAGAACAGAGGATACTGTTGTGGGGAAAAAAACTGTGGAAGAGACATGGGCTGTTGTGATGGACACACAAATCCATAAGAATATGAGGCTAATTCTGCTGCTCACTGAGTACATAATTTTTTATATTCAGCATTAACCTGTGATGGAGGCTTCATTATCTGAACAAACACACTAACAAACCTCTTTGGAGAGGCTGAAATACTTCAGTGGAGAACTGAGTTGCTAAGAAGGTTTATTGGTAGAGGTCATGTTATTTTTTTTCTTGCCTATTCAGTCAAGTAACGTCTCACCATCACTTTCACCAGACTATGTAATATGTAGTATTTGTATCAAGCCCTACAACCCAGAGCCCAAATCTAAGCTTCTATTTAAATTATAAGGGAGGAGCATTGCATTTGTCTGCTACTGTTATTTTAGAATGTGCCTGGGGCACTTAAAAGGATGAATTCAAGGTAACTCACTTTTCCAAGGTCATTATATTGCAGTTGAATATATGTCTAAATTGTTGGTCTCTGTGTCTTTGTAAACTTGTTAACTGTAGCTGGTTCCTAATGTTCATCTGTGTGAAAATCACAGCTTCTTCAATGTATTCAAGTCTCAAATGCCGCTCGGAATCTTGATCAGCATCCAGTGGGTTACTCTGTCTTTATTTTGTTAGACGCAAGGATAGTTTAGTTGCAACTACCTCTGGTATCCTGGTGGAATCTGGTTATGGTCCCATCTGCTACTTCACATGTATTAACCTCTATACCTCTGTGCTTCTGAAACAAGGCATAATAGAATATTAGCACTGGAAATTGTATTTGGGAAGGTCTGCCTTTTCCAGAAAGGGAAAAGCCAAGAAGGAGCTTTATCTTTCTCCTCAGAGAAAATCACATTCATATGATTGCATTAAGTTCTGCCCTTTCTGATCAACCACTTCAATAATAAAACCACAACAGTATTTGCCTCTGGTATCAACATCTTTGGAGAGAACCACAGCTGAGTATGAATGAATTTGGCAAAGTGCTTATGAGAATTCATCACTTCTGTGATGTTGTGTCCTAAACTATTTATAGTTATCATGTGCTTAATCCCTGTCCTACGGCAGCATTTCTGTCTTCCGTTTTTAGGTAGAAAACTACCAATAAGCTACCAGTCTGAGCATGCAAATCTTATAAGAAAATAGACTCATTTCTTAATTATTTATTAAATTGTGGCAGTTCTGTGGGGTTTTGTCCAAGGAGGCTGAATAGCGCCATGCACAGTCTTCATTAGTGTGAATTTTTGAATTAGCAAAGTAATTGGGGACTGACTGGGAATGCTGCCCACAGTATAATTGAGTATGAGAGCAGCCTAGTGGGCCCTGCTGTGCAAGAAGATGAGCTGAACTTGAAAATGCACCTACACTTATAATCCAGTCAAATAAAAAGACCACAACTGTATGGGAGGTAAGGGCTTTTTTAACACTGCATAGAACATCTTTGAAGAAAACTTTTAGTATGAAAAAATGATTAATTTTGTGCTTTCAGGATGATGTTTCACTGAATGGATATAAAAAATATTTGATATCACAGTCCTCCCCTGCACCTCTGACTGCAGCAGAAGAGGAACTTCGACAAATTAAGATTAATGAGGTACATATAATGTCTGAGCGTGGATGGGAAACTGGGTGCAGAGTTCCAAACACATTGTAGGAAAAAAGTACACCCAGGGTAAAAAAGGGTAGAACAGAAAACGGACAGTTTCAGAAAGTTTGAATGGATGAGACTGTAATTTTTTCCTCAATGAACTGAGGCTGCAAGATGGTGATGGCTGGAGCTGAAGTGGCATGATCTTGCTGAGTTTACTGGGCCTAGTGCCTGAGTCAGAGGCCTCACAATTGCAGAGCTTAATTGTTGCAGCTTTTGCTCTCAACATGCTTTTAATATCACTGCATGTGCTTCATTGTGAAGGGTGACTAAGCACAGGCACAGGTTGCCCAGAGAGGTCGTGGAGCCTCCATCTTGGAGATAGTCAAAAGCCATCTGGACGGAGAGCTGGTCAACTGGCTCTAGGTGGTTGGTGGATAAGGTGACCTCGGAAGGTGTCTCCCAACTCCGACTGTTCTGTGATTGCCCACATGCATTTCCCATGGTGGCAGAAACTGTAGAGAAAACACAGAATAGCAACTGCGCGGTGGATGATTGTCAGGAGTATTTCAGCAGCCTTATTCCCAGAGGAAACACACTTAGCTTTCAGCACCAGTGCACTTGTCTTTAAGACTGAGAATGGAATTCCAGTAAAAATAGAATACAAATCCAAAACAAGTAGCTAGTCCCTTTAAGAGACAGATTTGCTTTTGTTATAGATGCTTTATAAAAAACCCTCTAACAAATGCCTTTAACCAAATGATTTGATGTTTGTCAGCTAGTGACCAAAAAGTTTCAGGAGTTCTTTTCTCACATTTTCCTTCACTTGATCACTGTTCGTGTTCAGACATGTATTAAAATAGGTCATGTGCTGATCTTAGTAGTTCTTTAGGCTTGTATTTTACAACTGTGGTACATGTATTTGAAGTATGGTTTGTTTCTGCAGCTAGATACCAGCAAATCATCTTGTTAATGCAGCTCTGTATCTTCTCTTACATTTTCACTCTATTGTGCTTTTGCTGCAATTTTGTTGTTTATTGGCTTTTTTTAATTTTTTTTACCCAGTGGTGTCCTGGTTTTTTCCATGTCTGTTTTCACACAGTGTAGAAATGCATTCAACATCACCACACACTGCATTTTACTTGAACAACTTTAAAAACCCCAAACACTAATGAATGTAAAACTTCTGTGGTGTTGAGGATCACTGGTGGTATTAGTATTATGTGCTGTTACGAAACTTCAGCAGCAGTAGCTGTGCTTTTCAGAGATACATAAATTGTGCTTTGTTTGAAGCATCATGCAATACATTGACTTACGTCATTTCTCTCTTCGTTGTTTCCACCATTATGAAGCCTGTAATTAGACTCAGGAAGCTAAAAGCTTTCTGATCTAAAACAAAAAAAAGAAAAAAGTTTTCTATATATATTCTTTCATAATTACCCTAAGAAGTATTTTACTGGGTCAGATCAAAGCATCACCTTGATTGCTGTCAAGTCACTGAGTGAACAACAGCAGAAATCTAAGAAGGGTGTAAAAGCAGGGCAAGATGGCTGTAATAGTTCCCTTGAATACTCTTCTGTTGCCTCAGCATTTGCAGGTAGAGATCTGCCTGAGCAAAAGATGACATCTTACTATATAATTGTTCTTAATAGGGTTTTCATCCATTATCTAGTCTTGTCTTTTTTCTAAATCCACATAAAGTTTTTCTTGGCAGTATATTCCACAGCTTGACAAAGTACTACGTAAAGAACCGCAGCCTGCTATCTACTGGTTTAGTCTGATATCCCTACAGATTGTTTGGGGAAGGCAGAGAAAAGTCATTAAGTCATTCCTGTTTCCCCCTCCCCTTTGATAAAGTCAGATGTATCCTGGAAAGTCAACTGTATCCTGGGCTGCATCAAAAGAAGTGACCAGCAGGTTGAGGGAGGTGATCCTGCTCCTCTGCTCTGTTCTGGTGAGAGCCCTCCTGGAGTACTGTGTGCAGCTCTGGAGTCCGCAGTACAAGACAACATGGACTTGCTGGAGAGGGTCCAGAGGAGGCTACAAAAATGCCAAGAGAGCTGGAGCACCTCCTGTGAAGACAGGCTGAGAGCTGGGGTTGTTCAGCCTGGAGAAGAGAAGGCTCCAGGGAGAGCTTATTGCAACTTTCCATATTGCAACTTTCCATACTTAAAGGGGGATTATAAGAAAGATGGGAACAGACTTTTTAGCAGGGCCTGTAGTGATAGGACAAGGGGTAATGGTTTTAAACTAGAGAAGGGTAAATTCAGACTAGATATAAGGAAGAATTTTTTACTGTGAGGGTGGTGATTGCCCATAAAGATGGTAGATGCCTCATCCCTGTAAACATTCAAGGCCAGGCTGGATGTGGTTCTGTGCAACCTGATCTAGTTGAAGGTGTCCCTGTTCGTTGCAGGGGTGTTGGACTAGATGACCTTTGATGGTCCCTTCCAACTCAAACTATTAAATCCGTGGACCTCTGTTGTATACCTTATCAGGTATCTCTCCCAGGCTGAAAAGTCTTAATCCGGGTAGTTCTTCCCAGCTCTCCATGCTTCTGATCCTTTTGCTTTTCTCTGCAGTTTTTCCAGTTCTGCTATATAATTTGTGAGATGGGATGGGGAAGCCAGAACTGCATGTGGTATTCAAGATGCAGGCATGTTACTGCTACCTACAGTGCGTAATGATGTGTTTTGTTCTCTTTTTCTAAAAATTCCTAACATTTCACTTGTGGGTGGCGAGTGTTGGGTTTTTTGGGGTTTGTTTGCATTCTTTTTTTTTTTTTTTTTTCTTTTTTTTTTTTTTTTGGCCAAGACTGGCCATGGGGCTTATATTTTCAGAGATACTCAGTGTGACCTGCAAGGTTTTGTTCCTGGGTGGCAGTAGCTAGCTCAACTCCACCACCGCACAGGTAGAAGAGAAGTTTTCTGTTCCTCTTGTGTATGCTACTTTACATTTATTCACAGGAATTTTCATCTGCCATTTTATCCACCACTCAGCAGTCAGCACTAACAAATCTTATTGTGTGAATTCAAATATATTTAAGTGACTTGGGTGGTTTTCTTTTGCTTTAACGGTCTGAAACATGTTGCAGTACGGACAAATGGATTTTGTTCATGTTAACAACTCTGGAGTTATGCTGGGTTACTCTCTTCCCTTGCCTGTCCTTACACTTCACAGCTTCTTTTTACGTTTGAGTTTATTCCTACTTGTATTTTAATATGGTTTATGTAGTATGGTATTTAATTATGGTTTATTATTTTCACGATGCTTATATTAATCAGCCTTTTATGCAGATATATCCTGCAGGTATCTTTTTTCTGTAACCTTCTTCGTAGATTTATCAATCTTTTTACAAAACTAAGCTCTTTCACCTGCTTTCTTTTCTTCCTCTTCCCTCGTTGCTGACAAGCTGTTCCTTAAAATGTAGAGTATGATTTAGTGTTGCCCCAGGTATCTTTGGGTTTTATTTTTTTATCAGTTTGTTTCATATTTCATTAGTATCTCTTTTTAATTGAAGCTAAACATCTGCTAGTTGATAGATCTAAGACCCACATTTCCATTTCGTACACTTTTCTGAGTATTGCAGCTTCATCACCAGTGTTAAATGTATTTATGAAACTATAAAAGAAAGTCAGTATATTCAAAAGCTAATACTTAGACAGTAAGTTCAGACCTGGGAAAGCTGGAGGCCAGAGCTCATGCATGACTGTTAAGATAAACCTAAATTCTTGAAAAATGGCTTTAAAATAACTGGTGTTTTTTTCTCACAGCATTTGCGACTAACACAACTGGATTACGAACAATTGTCTAGCTTGCAGTCACCCAGGATTTTTTTACTTCTTGTTATACCTTCTAGAAGTCAAAAATTAAGATTTTATTAATTTTTGTTTGCTTTCCTTTTGGTGTAGGCTTTTAGGGGGAGGGTGTTGAGGGAGGAGGGAGAGTAGTCGCTCTGCTTTTCCTTCAAGAAGATCAGTTTGTTTCATAAGATATAATTCCTTTCTTCCTTGGAAAATTTTGATTCCCTTGAAATTGTATTTGCATGTTGTGGTCTAAAATTTTTAAAGATACAACAAAGCTTACGAGCAGGATTGTCAGTTCAGAAATATAACACACTGTATGAAAACCAAGCTCTTTCCTCCTGGCTTATTGTATCTATACCAGAATTTAACTTGGAGCTTCTTCACTGAGGCTGAGCCGGTTTTCCCTCTGCTGATTCTGTTGGCTCTGCCAAGCTAGCTGTTTCAGAGATACGAAACTGTTTTCAGGTTAGCAAGCAAACATGACCTGTACATTAAAAAATGCAGATTTGTTGCGTATGGGGATGATGTTTTGGGGTAGTTCGTTCTCAGAATAGCTACTGCTAACTCTGTGTGTAACCATATGCAATGCACTGTCAGTTACTCTATGAACCCAAATGAATGCTTGCAGAGGTTTCTGTTCACGTCGCCATTGACCTTTGTTCCAGGTGCAGACGGACGTTGGTATAGATACCAAGCATCAAACACTGCAAGGAGTAGCATTCCCTATTGCTAAAGAAGCTATTCAGGCTTTGGAGAAATTGAAAAATAAGAAAATCAATTATGTACAACTGGCAAGTATAAAATACTTTATTTTTTGAATAGTAAGTATAAAATAGATTACCCGCACATTAAACAGTGTGCACAACACACACTGATGAATTACCAGTCTGTATTAGATTAATATTTTTTTCCATCCTGTCATGTTCTCTGGTTTGCTTTCCATGTTTTAACTATATTCAGGTTTGCTTTGTTAACAGCAAATTGATATGAAAAATGAAACTATTATTTTGGCCAACACACTTCATACTGAACTGAAGGACTTGCCAAAAAGAATTCCAAAGGATGCTGCACGTTACCACTTCTTCCTGTATAAGCATGCCCATGAAGGAGACTATTTGGAATCCATAGGTATGAGAAAATTTCCCAATATGAAATTTCATTGGCTTGTTTCACATACTTTAGTAATTTTGAGGCAGAAAGATGTGTCACAGAAGTAATCTGTCTCATCAGCATGATCATAAATTTCAGAGGCATTTGGTTGTGAAACTGACTTCTGAGGAGTCCTTATGTTTAGAACTTTGTGAGCTATCCCTTTTGATAGTCTTCATGTCAAAACATAAAGTTAGTGGCCATTCTCTCATCCCCCATTTGAAATGAAACGCTTGCTGAAGCAAAAAAAGATCCAAAATAGTGTTACATTTTTCCCCTTTCAGATTGCATAGTTGATTTGCAATGCCTCTGGTGTAAATGATTTTACGATACAGGTTTTGATGGAGCATAGTTATGGTCTGATTTATGGGTTGGTTGTTTTTTCTCTGCAGTTTTCATCTACTCAATGCCAGGGTATACCTGTAGTATACGAGAACGAATGCTCTACTCTAGTTGCAAAAGTCCACTGTTAGAAATTGTAGAAAGGCAGTTGTGGATGCAGATAATTAGAAAGGTAAGTACAGCGGGTATACTGGTATTTTCTCCTTCCCTCTGTTCGCTTCTTAGTCTCTAACTATAACTTTCTTTGCCACCACCTTCTCTAAACAATGAAGTTTTGTGTAACTGTTAAACTTTGTCCTTATTAAGAAATACTTACTGATAAAACTCCAGATACAAAGTTAAATCATGGAAGCTTTCCTTTGCTTCATAACTTCTACACTTTCATAGCTTTAGCAAACATATTCTTGTGCACTGAGGGAGCGTTTGAGAGTACTTTGAAGGACTATTTAGAACTAACATAATTCCTTACTAAAAGGCCTGTTATATTTTGTACCTCATTGCTGTTGTCGAACACTGAATTCTTTAAAACTAAAGGATTTTCAATATCAAGTTGCAGTTCTGAAACTTAAAAGTAGACTGATCTTTTCACATCTCATAGGTTCTACTACTGTGCAATAATTTGCTTCTCACCTCCAGAGCAGAGACCATAGGAATGGTCTTATATGTAATTATTTCTCAGAAATTTCCTTTCTACAATGAAATAAATGCACCAGGTAACTTCTGAAATTCCTATAGACATGTTTCTGAAGCAGGTACTTGTAACATCAGTCCTGTGGCTGGCAAGCGCTATGGTTGGCAAGCCGCGAAGTGTTGAATGCTTAGGAGAGCAGGGCCAAAATTTTTCCCTGAGTTTCAAATTCCTGCAATTCAGACCAGTGGGGTTTGGCTTGAGAACAGCTTTTCCATTAAAGTTTCTATGCTTAAATTTTTTTAAAAACTGAAACAACCTCTGCTTTTGTTCATTAAACTTATTTTAGCTTGTCCCTGGCTTGAATAGTTGCTGAGTTGCAGTAGCCAGCTAATCGTGTAAGCTGTTTGTACTCCTCCCCTTCTGTCTCAAGGGACAACAGTATGTGTGCATGTTGCTTTTATAGTATGTGTTTAAAGCATGTTTTAGTGGGAAAACAAATCTTAAAATGTGGAGATTACATTGGGACAATGAAAAGATCTTACTTTAGAGGGGAGAATAAAGAAAGGAAACGGTAATTCTGAATGATCTGCACACTGCTTTCTTTTATTAAGGAAGTTACTTTAGAAGTGAGTAAATAACCACTTGTTTCCAGGTGGAATGTGTACTCCTAGTTACTATTAACATGTACACTCTGCTAAAGCTCGGGACAGAGGAAGTTTCTTGGCATATGCTGTGCTTGTATTTCAGGAAAAATATTTAAGTTGACTCACACTTAATACTGGTGAGAGTTTGGCAGATTCCTAGAAAAACTACAAAACTACTTAGGATTGCTCAGGGCATTAGGCACAAGTTGGAGAACCTTTTGCTCTGAACATTATTGCACATATGGTTTTAATACTGCATTTAGAGCTTCAGCAAAATTTTGAAATGTTTTTAAATATGTCTAAGATGAATATGATAAACGTTGTTTGTTTTCCTTCCCAGATTGAAATAGATAATGGTGATGAGTTAACTGCTGACTTCCTGTATGAAGAGGTTCATCCAAAACAACATGCTTACAAACAAAGTTTTGCTAAACCAAAAGGTCCTGCAGGGAAGAGGGGAATACGAAGACTGATTAGAGGTCCAGCAGAGACTGAAACACCTAGTGATTAGAAACTGCTGTTTAGTATTAAGTATTACAGTGAGAAACAAAATTCTGGCTTTTGGTAATGAACTGAAATCATTCCATTCATAGATGCTAGAAAACAAACAAACAAAAAAAAAGGCTCTTTTTACTCTTTTCTCCTCTGACCTCAACACTTTTTATATTGTTACATGGTTATATTTGTTGACCATGTTTCATAACATGTGGAAGAGCTAATTATTTTAAAGCTAGAAGAGGAAAACTAAGCTAGTACCCTTTTATTTTAAATTAGAATCCATTATTTAATAGCTGTGATCATACACTCTGCACACATAAGACTATGAAGCTCATCTCTCCTGTGGGTCAATTGCAACTGTCTGTCTAGGTAGCAAACCTGTGTTCTTGTGAGTAGCCTATGGAAACCTGTAACCCTTTTCATGTGAGAAGAGCTGAAGGACTGTATAGCATTGTCCCAGATAAATCTTTATTTATCCTTTTAGCTCTTACTACAATAGAAGGTTTTCTTCTGTTTTGACATGCTGCATTGTTGGGATTTGTTGGTTTGCTTTGGTTTGTTTTTTTGGTAATACAAAAGATAAACTAAAATCAGTTACCTATCAATTAATGTCTGTGCTCAAGAATAGCCGGATATTTTCCCACACAAAAGCAGGGTCATGTTAAATTTATAACTAATTTCATGGAACTGTCTTTTAAAGAAATCTGACATAAAACCACTAGAGCTTTTCCAGACTTCTGTACCACTCATAGGCCTTACATAGTAAGTACTGAATGACCAAGGGAAAGGTGATTAAAAGTGCATGAGTTAGTATACTCAGTAGATTATGGACCTGCTTTCAAAGCAATATGCTTAAAGTTTCTAATAAATAATTGATTATCTGTGCTCTTGGATCTAAAACGATGTAAATTCAGTAAAAATGGAAATAACTTGCTTCATAATGGTGAGTTATTCTTGAGATCCTTGTGCATTTGCAGTATCAACTACAGTTTTAGCCTTCCAGGTCTACTGAAAATTACTTTTCCTAGATGTTTGAACTTTAATAGTAACTTAAATCTGTAACAAAATCCAGCTAGGTCTTGAATAACTGGTGGCAGCACCTGGCTAGGATTTTGTCTTTTTTAATTATTTTTTTAATCCTTCCCTTGTCTAAAATACTAAAATCACCCAGAATAGTCTAAACTTGATTGAACCATGAGTAATGTCTTTAATAGGAAGAGGAAAAATAGCTTATTTTAACAAGTGGATTCAAGAAGAATTAGATGTGGAAATCAAGTATTAGATGACCTTAAATATTTAAAATTATGTAATGAGGCAAATACTAGTGGATAGGTTATATTCCCCAGTGGGGACTTGCTTTTTAGTGTCTTGCATGTGAGCTTTGTGGGGTTCAAATTCCTTTTTTTTCTAAGCTGCATGGGAGTTGCAAGTCTTGGTTCGCTGCATATTGTCATAGGTGCTAGGAGTACACATGATATAGCAGAATCATGTTTGTTCTATTAAAAAGATAGGTTTTAACCTAATTTTGTAGGGAAAAAAATAATGCTTTGACACTAATAGTTCCTGATAAAATTTGTTTTATCTTATATATTATTTTATTTGGAGATGCTGGCTTGTTCTTGATGTCAGAGATTGCACTATATAATGTGGAGATTGCAATAGTTGTTGGTTTTACTGGGTTTTTTTTATATGCAGTAGAAATTTGACACCTCAGTTATTTTCATTTAATCTTACACACTACATCAATCCACTTCAATAGCTCTGGCTCCTCAGCTGATCTCCTGCTTGCCCTAGGCTACTGTGTTCTTTTTCTGTCTCTTGCGTTCTCCCTCCAGGGCAAGGATCTGGCCTTTGAAGTGTTTCTTCTGTGTGCTACCTGTCAGGCAAGTGTCATTGTTTATTAAACATGGTCGTGTGTGTGCAGCTCATTGTACGCTGTAATTAAATGTGGTTTTAGATGAACCCTGAATCTTTTCAGCACACCTAACTCATTTTGGGGTTTGGGGTTAAGGAAAACCTTTGAGTGTAGCACTTAAAAAATTGCTGCTAGGGGGTTTTCTGTTTGAATTTTGTATTCCTGCCCATGTGTCAGCCATGCCAAGAGTGCATATATGTTTTTACACTTATTTGAGCCAGTAAAGAAGTTCAGGATTTTAATACCGAATGTTTTAAATAATGAACAGTTTGACCTGATATGGTAATGTATGTGTTGTGTTTGGTTTTGTTTTGGGTTTTTTTCCGAGCCCTGCCCTAGGTAGATGAGGATAGGAGGTAGAAAACTTAATCTGGAGGATGGTGACAACTGGTGAAGTGATTCTGTGAGGGCATTTATCATGGGCTGCTTTAGAGTTCAGCTCAAACCAGGCACTGCAAGTTATCTTACTTGAAAATATTCAGTGTGGATGTACAACGCCCTGACCACCCAGCAGAGTCATGTCCTGAGTGTATTTCCCCCTCACCTTTCCCCTCAAAGAGACTTGCATCGAGTCTTGCACTACCGACTGCCTCTCCAGGCCTCTTGTAGCTCTTCTCCTGACAATAAGCAATAAGGAGCATCCAATCTTTTTGTAAAGATCTATCAATCACGTTTACATCTGTGTAGTTGCCTCACATAACACTACTGCTGTTAATGAATGTTCAGAGCTAGCACAAAATGAGGGCATTAATGGAAGTTATTCCTTCAACTGTCTCTGCTCATTTAATAATTCAAAGTGTCCATTCAAACTGTTGTTGGCCTTCATAACACCCAAAAGCAATGCAACTGCTTGCAGTTAACTCACAAGCTATTAAATAGTTAATTAACATGACAGGTAATTATTGTTTGAAAAGTTTATGTGGCAAAGTAGGGAGAAGTTGATCTTTTAAAACACTCCTGTCAGAGGTTTGCAAAACTAATCAAGGCAATAATTGCTCCATTACTTGGATAAACACATTGATAGAGGAAACTTCTGATTTACAGTGTCTGTGTATTCAATGAAAAACACCTTCAGATGCTTAAATTAACTAAGTTTACCTTATCTATTTTGTAATTTACTTCATAAATAAAGATCAATGCTTTATTTTGGTGGTGTCTGAATCATGTCATAATCCCTTTTAACAAGGATCTGTATGCTAACATCACGACATGTAACTAATAGGCAGTTCCTGTAGAACTAGAAAGCAGTGTGGACAAAGTGGCTGCAGGGCCTAAGGGAGATAGGCAGAAACAGAATTCCTGGCTTTTGCTGTTGTAGAAAACCCAGTGTGTTGGAAACAGCTACTTCCCTATTGCTTCATGGAAGCAGCACAGCAGCCTCCATTGCAGGATGCAGGTATGTTCATCTCTTGAGGTTTTTATGCTTTCAATAATAAGTCTCTTCAGAAGTTCTTCTATCCTTTTAAAATGCTGAAGTAGTTGATTAGTAATTTAATTTCTATGTGTTGTTACTTGCTCAGCATGAGGTAATGTAATTAAACTACTCAAATGATGTTATTCCATTGGGTTTTTGTCTAAGCTGAAAGTAGTTGCAGTTTTCCTATTGCTCTCAGACTTCCAAGCTGAAAAGAACATTTAGTGGTTTGGCTTTTAACTGTCCTGCCAACATATCCCCATGGGAAGTCGGTGATATGGCAATTTTGCAGTTGAAAGAAGGAAATTTGAAGACATGTTGAACTAGGATTTGAGAGAATATTTTTAATGTGAAATGCTATACAGGAGCAAAGCTGTTCCCGTAAGAGGAGCAGAAGCAAGATAAGAGGAGGGAACAGGTTTGGCCTCTACATGAGCGTGAATGTCAGAGGCAGTTTTATTTGCCTTCTCATCAGTGGGTGTTAAATCAAACTCTCGGCTGGCCAGCCCAAATCTCAAGATGAAGCAGTTCTTCCCATTTCAATAACACGAAGTACTGTGGCTGGTAGAATGTGTGTTGGCTCAAAAGGCAACTGAGCAAACTGATCAAAGAAAATTTGACAGAGGCTGAGTAACTAATGAAGACCTCACATCCTTTTCAAAGGTAATGAGCTGCAAGCAGTACAAACCATCATACTGCATTAACTCTCCGGATCTGTCTTGTTCTTGCATTCTTCCTCAGCAACCACTAATGGCTCATGTCCCAGCCCGTGGGGCTGTGTGGACACCCCTTCTCTGACTCACAACAGCCATTCTGTTACCTCCTGCTGTAGCCAAGGGGAGAACTGATGCACATCCTACCAGGTTTCCTTCACAGCAATCTTCTTCGGCTTGTTAAGATTTGCTTTTATCTTGCTGCTTCTTTCTAGAGTCTTAGTTGGAACTGCAGTAAATCACTCTTGCTATTTTTGTTCATGCTTCCTTCTGGGGGTGACTAAAGTAATTGCTTTATGCAACAGTTCTCCAGATCCTTAACAAACAAAAGGTTTGCTCTGCCACTGAGGGTGGTGGGCCTTGGCTGCCCCCTGTGGCACCTTCCCCACCTAGACGGGAGGCAGGCCAGCCCTGTTAGCCCTAGCTCTATCCTGAGAGTATCTCCCGTGCAGCATGTTCTTCGCCCACCAGCAGCCATACGAAGTTTTTTCTCACCTCCAGTTCTATGGAACTAGATAATCCCTGTGCTCATAAAGAACCTGAATGACTGACTTGTGTCCTGGGAAGCCTTTCTGTAGTAATTAACACAAAGCAGTATGGATCCTAGGATAGCTTAATGTTTTTGCAGAGAATAAACAAAACAGAAGTCAGCTACTCCTATCCCCTGTTAGTGTCTGTAGGTGTTGACAATACCATAGAAAGACCTTGGAAAAAACTGTGGGGGGGGAAGGGGGGAAGAGGGGAAAGGCAAGTTCCTCCTCTTCACACTCTGTATTTTAAATAACTTAGCTTTACCTAACACCTCCCATTTTCATTCCTCACTAGAATAATACTAAACAAGTTCAAAACCCTTTCAAAATTGTTGTACAGTACCAGAGGTGAACAGCACTGACTGGGGCATTACTGCAGCAAACATGCTCCAGGACAACACTATGGATGACATTCTAGCTCTAGGAAAAAGCAGATGTAACTCTCTCCTAACAGCTGGAGATGTTTAGAAGTGGAAAATGGCTTCAGCAGATTTTACTCGATTTAGCTTTATAGCAGCTTTTTTCTCCACAAGCCCAGGTTCAGAGCTGTGCAGTTTTACTCCATGCAGCGAGGTTAGCATAATGTTATCAGAAATGCAAGCGATGTAAAACAACTGTTGTTTCCAAGGCTCAATGTTTTAATAGCAGAAATAATCATCTGCCATGGTAATGCAGAAGTTTTATTTATGTTAGCAGCTTTTTACAATTTA